TCAGTAGGACTCTTCAGTTAAAAACATACATTTTGTATTTGAGACCTAATAATGTGCAGTGCTCAAACAAGCTATGAACTGATGAAATGTTATTTGTCACTATTGTGAAAGATACTTTAAAAGAATAAAAAACAATAATTAATTGGATAAACCAGCCAGTAATTGATTGGTTGTCAGTAACCAGTTATAATAACTGATCATGGATGTTGAAATCTCATCTCATCCTCATGAACACAAAGAAATATCCAAACCTTCAGTGGCCTATAACCATGCACTACACTGCAGAAGGTGCATATTTCAGGGTCACACTTGACTGGACATGATGGGTTATATCTTCTCCAATCACACTCATCCACCATAATGATCATATATAGACTTTATCATCACTGTATGTCTTTAACCTTCATATGATATATGTATAATCAGCATGACCAATCATTATTAATTATATGCCATTCTATATTGATACATCACTTCCTTTATGCCTTTATTTTGAAACACATCATACACAGCATCTATGAGTGTCTTTTATACCTTGATTATTGATTTTTCTTTAGAATGCACAAGATGGATCTTTCTCAAATTTTGTTCGTAGGTACCTCTTGGTTCATAGTTGTGGCCTTTTGATTTTTGAACTGGTTAGAAAAACAAAATGGCTGACATACAGCCATCTTGGATTTTGACAAAGAAAGTTTGTTATTTTATATTTCTGAGAAGCATATATGTAGATACCTCTTGGTTCATATTTGTGCCCTTTTGATTTTTGAACTGGTTAGAAAAACAAAATGGCTGACATTCAGCCAGCTTGGATTTTGTTATCTTATATTTCTGAGAATCACCAGGTGAATATCATACTCTGTAAGTAGGTGTCTCTTGGTATGTAATTATTCCCTTTTAATTTTGGGACTGATCATAAAAGCAAAATGGCTGACAGATGGACATTTTGAATTTTGACTGTGAAAGCTTGTTATCACTTATTAGCTCCCTACTGGGACACAGTAGGGACTATAGTTTTGTATTGTGTCAGTCTGACCTTCTGTCCTTCCAGCCTTCCTTCTGTTATCTGGTTCAGACTCTATCTCCTTTACTGCATGTCACTTAAACTTCATACTTGTGAGTATGGGTTCACATTGGTGAGGAGCTGTATCTTATATTAAAGGTAGGTCTGACCTAAATTTTGATATTTGACCTTAATTAAAGAAAAATATTGTACAAGCTCTATCTCCTACACTACTTGTAATTAGAGCTTCATAAATGGAGTATGGGTTTACCTTGATTACTTAGACCTACAGTATGACTTGATGAAAAAGTTTGTTTTACATAAAACTCTACTTTTAATAGGTAATTTGTTGAATTCAGATTTTATGTGTAGGTCCCCTTTTGTCCCTAGCTGTGCTATTTTGATTGTTTGACTTATTAGAACATTGAAGGTTTGTTATCATTTTTTCTTGATAAATATTTTATGGATGTTTCATATTCATGGAATTTTCAAAGGAGCAAACAGAAGAAAGAAAAGAGATAAGAAAAGATAAAATTATTGAAGAACGAAATAAAAGATAAAAAATTGAAGGCATCAAGATACCTCTGGGATATCTTGTATTGGAATTTATGTCACTTCCATGTTCAAGAATCTACATAAGCTTGGTAGAGCTTTTATTATGATGGCACTAAGAGGACAAATATTGTTTTTGGTGTTGGAGGAGAACTTACAGGGGAAAACCAATACGTTGGAGGAGTTTAAAGTTAAAGGTTCGAAGGTCAAGTTCCTCGTTACAATTGACAGAAAGTTATCTAATATGCACAAGGGCATGGGATTTCATGTTTGACTGACATTTTTCTGGTTGTCTAGTCATGTTGATATCATTAGTCAAAATTCTTATATTCGAAAACAATTTGTCAAGGCTTAAAACAATGTAATCAAATTTTATAGACGGAATAAAAAAAGTGTCAGTTGCATGGTAAATGAGTAATGATCTGTCCGCATACAGAGCATTGTGAGAGTTCCAAGGACATTTTGTCTTCCATCAACGTCGGTTGATATTTATATTAATATCCAATGAAGTTTTCAATGTACAGACTATCTTATATTGACTCTTGCCGCCAGGGACATCAGGGACATGACAGTCATATATGATTTCTCTGTATTTAATAATTTGCTCTGCAGATTTCATCTATATACATTTTGTTCTCTTTTCCAGACATGGATGCAATATGTAGTCTGAAGAAAATCCTGAAACATTGGGAAACTCATTTCTACAAAATTCATAATCGGAAACCAAAGCAGGTGACATCTGTTTGTAATAAATTTGATTTAAGCTCTCTAAGTGACAACAATTCTATATTGATTACAATTCATCTTACTCCCCAATAAATAAAACTTCAGTCAAGAAATCGGTTTGTTTGTAACGTCCATCTCTCACCCTGTAGGCCTGTTTGTTGTTGTAGTACTGGCCTTGGCTAGTTATCATGTTGTTCTTGGATTTTATTACCTATTTTTCTGATATTAATGTTTATCTTCAGCGATTGATACCAAAATTCTACTTCTGACATAAAATATCCTGTTGTACGCTTTTTAATTATATTTAGATGTTTGGTGATTTTTGTTCAGTAGAAATATGCCTTCTATATTGTTGTCGTGACAGCTGATCATGGCCTGTTATCAATTAAGAAAAAAGTTGTTGTCTAACTATGTATATATATTTGTATTTCATGAAATTGAATTTGTTTGTTGTTTGATGTTACTTAACATCCTTTCAGTTTCAACATCATCACACAACCAAACACAAAATATAGCCAAAATGTCAGCCAATGCCCCTTGGCCACTGTAAACATTATGACATCATCAGGATTTGTCAGTAATGTATCTTTTACATGAATAAATGAACAAGCAACGAAATGAGAGGCTATGTTTACCTATATGTGAGTTTGGTATTGTATCGGAAGCCACATGTATAAAGTATTGTCTGTATGTAATTGCATTAGAACTATATAAATATATAATAAGCTTTGTTCAATTACCTCATTGGAGTGTTTCTTGGATGTAATTACCTTAAGACAAGTCAAAGACGTGTCTGAAGTGTGATTAGGACTGCCATTGTCGACGAGGTCAAAATGGGGGACTCTCGTCAAAACATTTTAAAATGACATTTTATAAGCGACTGAAAATATTTTGATGAAAATTTCACAGCATTTAATAGATTCTTCCTTGTAATTTTAAGTTTTGTTGACTGTTTTTTCAGGAAGACATTAGAGATGCACCAGATGACATCAAAGGTACTTATCTTGCAGTAAATTTCAGAAAATACGGAAATTTAAACAAGTGTTATCTACTTTAAAAAAGAAAATGCCTATTTGTTTTTAATCAAGTTCCACAGTATTATTACTTATACAGAAGAGTTATCTTTGTTGATGGAACTTTTTTCGGTCATTGATTAGAAATTATTGATTCTCATCAAGTTTAACTTTAGAATTGTCTATTGAGAAATGAATAGACGATGTTATCAATGTAGTTTATGGAGAAATGAATAGACAATGTTATCAATGTAGTTTATGGAGAAATGAATAGACGTTGTTATCAATGTAGTTTATTGAGAAATGAATAGACAATGTTATCAATGTAGTTTATTGAGAAATGAATAGACAATGTTATCAATGTTGTTTATGGAGAAATGAATAGACGATGTTATCAATGTTGTTTATGGAGAAATGAATAGACAATGTTATCAATGTAGTTTATGGAGAAATGAATAGACGTTGTTATCAATGTAGTTTATGGAGAAATGAATAGACAATGTTATCAATGTTGTTTATGGAGAAATGAATAGACGATGTTATCAATGTTGTTTATGGAGAAATGAATAGACGTTGTTATCAATGTAGTTTATTGAGAAATGAATAGAGGATGTTATCAATGTAGTTTATGGAGAAATGAATAGAGGATGTTAACAATGTTGTTTATGGAGAAATGAATAGAGGATGTTATCAATGTAGTTTATGGTGAAATGAATAGAGGATGTTATCAATGTAGTTTATGGAGAAATGAATAGAGGATGTTAACAATGTAGTTTATGGAGAAATGAATAGAGGATGTTATCAATGTTGTTTATGGAGAAATGAATAGAGGATGTTATCAATGTTGTTTATGGAGAAATGAATAGACGATGTTATCAATGTTGTTTATGGAGAAATGAATAGACGTTGTTATCAATGTAGTTTATTGAGAAATGAATAGACAATGTTATCAATGTAGTTTATGGAGAAATGAATAGACGTTGTTATCAATGTAGTTTATTGAGAAATGAATAGACAATGTTATCAATGTAGTTTATTGAGAAATGAATAGACAATGTTATCAATGTAGTTTATGGAGAAATGAATAGACGTTGTTATCAATGTAGTTTATTGAGAAATGAATAGACAATGTTATCAATGTAGTTTATTGAGAAATGAATAGACAATGTTATCAATGTTGTTTATGGAGAAATGAATAGACGATGTTATCAATGTTGTTTATGGAGAAATGAATAGACAATGTTATCAATGTAGTTTATGGAGAAATGAATAGACGTTGTTATCAATGTAGTTTATGGAGAAATGAATAGACAATGTTATCAATGTTGTTTATGGAGAAATGAATAGACGATGTTATCAATGTTGTTTATGGAGAAATGAATAGACGTTGTTATCAATGTAGTTTATTGAGAAATGAATAGAGGATGTTAACAATGTAGTTTATGGAGAAATGAATAGAGGATGTTAACAATGTTGTTTATGGAGAAATGAATAGAGGATGTTATCAATGTAGTTTATGGTGAAATGAATAGAGGATGTTATCAATGTAGTTTATGGAGAAATGAATAGAGGATGTTAACAATGTAGTTTATGGAGAAATGAATAGAGGATGTTATCAATGTTGTTTATGGAGAAATGAATAGAGGATGTTATCAATGTTGTTTATGGAGAAATGAATAGACGATGTTATCAATGTTGTTTATGGAGAAATGAATAGACGTTGTTATCAATGTAGTTTATTGAGAAATGAATAGACAATGTTATCAATGTAGTTTATGGAGAAATGAATAGACATTGTTATCAATGTAGTTTATGGAGAAATGAATAGACATTGTTATCAATGTAGTTTATGGAGAAATGAATAGACGATGTTATCAATGTTGTTTATGGAGAAATGAATAGACGTTGTTATCAATGTAGTTTATGGAGAAATGAATAGACAATGTTAACAATGTTGTTTATGGAGAAATGAATAGACGATGTTATCAATGTAGTTTATGGAGAAATGAATAGACAATGTTAACAATGTAGTTTATGGAGAAATGAATAGACGATGTTTTGAATATTATTTTTTTTCCAGATGCCTATTTACAGTACAATAAACATCGTAAGGAGGAGAAGGTAGGTTGTAACAAGGTGTCAGTAGTTACTGTATGGGGAATCTTTTTGATTCATTAGTTAGTTAATTGAGATACAGTGATAGCAGCTCCAAAAACTGGCTGCCTTGATTTACACACACAAACTGGGATTCTACAACGGCATCAACAGAGGAACCAAAAACTCAGTGAAACCCTACTTCCTTTAACATAACTTGAATATACATGTATTTGTATGTCATTGTTTAATAAGAACATTTCTGATGAAGTATTTAAGGTCAATATAGAGAAAACTTAACTTGTGTTCAAATAGAGGTACAGTATGTTTATTGTCTTAGAGTAAATTATAGAATAGCAGGAGGGTACAGATGAACATACAGTGACCTGTAGTATGTGACATATAGTCTGTGCTTCACTTAGTGTGACCTGTAGTATGTGACTTGTAGTCTGTGACATATAGTCTGTGCTTCACTTAGTATGACCTGTAGTATGTGACTTGTAGTCTTTGACATATAGTCTGTGACATATAGTCTGTGCTCCACTGTGTGTGACCTGTTGTATGTGACATGCAGTCAGTGACTTGTAGTGTGTGACATATACTCTGTACTCCACTTTGTGTGACCTGTAGTATATGACTTGTAGTATGTGACTTGTAGTGTGTGACTTGTAGTATGTGACATATACTCTGCTCCACTGTGTGTGACCTGTAGTATGTGACCTGCAGTCTGTGACTTGTAGTCTGTGACATATACTCTGTGCTTCACTATGTGTGACCTGTAGTATGTGACCTACAGTCTGTGACTTGTAGTCTCTGACATATAGTCTGTGTGTCACAGTGTGTGACCTGTAGTATGTGACCTGTAGTATGTGACTTGTAGTCTGTGACATCTAGTCTGTGCGTCACAGTGTGTGACCTGAAGTGTGTGACCTGTTGCCAGTTGATCGTGAATCAGTGACATAGTTTTTGATTTGTTATTAGTGAGCTGAACCCTGTGATGTCTGATTCATTTATTTTCTTTTCAGAGGAAGAAAAGTTCATCTGATTGCAAATTTACAGATATAGAAAATGAAACGGTTACCTTAAATTCCACTAAAAGGTCAACATTGGTTAAGGACGAATGTGCATTAGACAACATAGTTACAAGTGAGAATAAGACTTCTAATTATGAAGATGATGAGGAGTGTGAAGGGATGTCAGCTGACACACATCTTGAAAATAAAGGCACTGATAAAACATCTGAACAACCAGAAATCTGGGGAAGACAGTTTGATAAAAAACTTTCAAGTTGTTCTGTAGAGAAGAAGCCCAAAAATAAACCCAAGAAAAACAATGTTTACTTGAAAGGCCTGAGTAGCAAATTGTTTGCAAATTCCAAAAAGTTTGGTGAAAAAGAGGCAAAAGAGCAAGCCATTTTAACACGACAATGGAAACAGTCAATCCACCCAAATGTAGCCAAAGATACACCACCGGCTGAACAGGAGGAAAGTTTTACTTGTTTTAGTGATGAGACAGACACCACAGACCCTGTCCAAGAGACTGATCCAACGGAAAATAAAAACATGGAATCCTCAAAGTTTGGGATGTTTAGAAAAGCAGTTTCTGTTTCAAGTCAGAAAACCTGTATTGTTCCGAAGCCTGATATAGAAGACGTCATTGTTTATAGTAAATACAGTACAACTTGTAAGGTGAGAAGTGAAATTCCAGTACTGCCAAGGTCAGTCAAGGACAAATACGATTTCAGAGAATCAAAAAACGATGAAATTGATGGTATTGCAGGTAGCGAGAAATCAGAATTCAGTGAGAATGTTACCACACTACAAAGATCTGCACCCAAGCAACCTAGATGTAGAAAACTGAAAAAAACATCTTGTCAGAAAGATGTAGAACAGTTACACTCATCAGAACTTTGTAATGACTCAATGGAATCAAATGTTGGTTCTCAAGCTCTATCGAATTGCGGAGATCAAGAAATGGAAGTTGTACCTGTTGTTCCGATGAAGAAGACCTACCAGAAATGGACAGGAGAAACAGTGACACCTGACTGTATACCTGTGGATCTTGGTGAGGATAAGATGGAGGTTGAGGATATTCCAGTCATTTCTAAACAAGACAGGAAGCGAAAGAAAGACAAATGTGAAGAAGGGGCACCAAGAAAACGGAAAAAAGCTGAAATTGATGAAAATGTAAATATCTAACTGTAGTGATATTTTTTTTATATCTTTTTACAGATTCTGTGATAACTGTTCCCTGTGGTTGTGTGGTACAGATTCTGTGATAACTGTTCCCTGTGGTTGTGTGGTACAGATTCTGTGATAACTGTTCCCTGTGGTACAGATTCTGTGATAACTGTTCCCTGTGGTTGTGTGGTACAGATTCTGTGATAACTGTTCCCTGTGGTTGTGTGGTACAGATTCTGTGATAACTGTTCCCTGTGGTTGTGTGGTACAGATTCTGTGATAACTGTTCCCTGTGGTTGTGTGGTACAGATTCTGTGATAACTGTTCCCTGTGGTTGTGTGGTACAGATTCTGTGATAACTGTTCCCTGTGGTTGTGTGGTACAGATTCTGTGATAACTGTTCCCTGTGGTACAGATTCTGTGATAACTGTTCCCTGTGGTTGTGTGGTACAGATTCTGTGATAACTGTTCCCTGTGGTTGTGTGGTACAGATTCTGTGATAACTGTTCCCTGTGGTTGTGTGGTACAGATTCTGTGATAACTGTTCCCTGTGGTTGTGTGGCACAGATTCTGGTAACATTCCTGTTTCCCTGTAGTTATGTGGTACAGATTTTGGGATAACTTTTCTGTTTTTAGGTCACCTGAAACAAAGTCTCCGGGTGACTTATTTCAACCCCCTTTTGTCTGGTGTCTGGGGTTGTAAACTTTTAACATTTTTTGACTTCTGCTGGAAAACTCTGGAATTGATTTTAATGAAATTTTATAAAAACCTTCCATAGCTTAAGGAAAATTGTAAATTAAATGGTCCCCAACCACCAGGGGCCTGAGAGATGGGGCAAAAAAGGGTCAAATTGATTGAAGCCTCAAAAATCTTCTCAAATTCCAGGTATAGTAGAATTGAATACTCTTAATTGATAGAAATGCCTTTAGATGCCTTACCAAAATTATAAATTTCATGACCCCAGGGTCCCACATTTTCCCATGGGTAGGGGATAAAATTGATAAAAGTTTATATAGGAAAATCCCATTTCTGAACCTTATTTGGTTATTTTCTATTGGAAATCGTTCAAACCTAGATAGAATTATTAATGTAAGATGACAGTTTAATGAGATGCATATATTGACTTCGGCTGACCCCCAGAGTCAAATTGACTGTAATTTCTCAAATCCCAGGTATGGTAGAATCAAATGCTCTTCATGGATGGAAAGGCCTCCAGATGCTTTACCAAAAATGTAAATTTCATAACCCTAGGGTATTGCATTTATGCCAAGGTAGGGGTGACAATTTACTATAATTCATATAGAAAAACTACATATTTGAGCATAATTTGTTTATTTTCTTTCAGAAAGAGTTCAAACTAGGTTAGAATTTATTTCTTATTAGTATAAGCCTACTGTTTGATGAGATGCACATATTGACCTTGACTGACTTCCAGGGGCTGATGGGCGTGGCCAAAAGTTGTCAAATTGACTGAAATTTCAAAGATGTTCTACTGTTCCTGGATGGAAGATTTTATATAGGAAAATTCAAATCTTAAGCGAAATTTCTTTCAATTCAAACTTGGTTAGAAACCTTAGCATGGGACAGCAATTAATGTATACATTATACACAATTTACATCTGTATTATGTGTAAAATATAATTAAGTTAAAACACATTTTTAAAGTTATTTCTGTGACATGTTACAAGAACCATTGTGACTCAAGTGACTGTTAAGGCCCTTGGGCCTCTTTTTCTGTTTTCTCTGTAGTAACGTGGTACTTCTGTTTCCCTGTAGTTATGTGCTACTTCTGTTTCCCTGTAGTTATGTGGTACTTCTGTTTCCCTGTAGTTATGTGGTACTTCTGTTTCCCTGTAGTTATGTGGTAATTCTGTTTCTCTGTAGTTATGTGGTACTCCTGTTTTCCTTGTAGTTATGTGGTGCTTCTGTTTCTCTGTAGTTATGTGGTACTTCTGTTTCCCTGTAGTTATGTGGTACTTCTGTTTTCCCTGTAGTTATGTGGTACTTCTGTTTCCCTGTAGTTATGTGGTACTTCTGTTTCCCTGTAGTTATGTGGTACTTCTGTTTCCCTGTAGTTACGTGGTACTCCTGTTTCTCTGTAGTTATGTGGTACTTCTGTTTCCCTGTAGTTATGTGGTACTTCTGTTTCCCTGTAGTTATGTGGTACTTCTGTTTCCCTGTAGTTATGTGGTACTTCTGTTTCCCTGTAGTTATGTGGTACTTCTGTTTCCCTGTAGTTATGTGGTACTTCTGTTTCCCTGTAGTTATGTGGTACTTCTGTTTCCCTGTAGTTATGTGGTACTCCTGTTTTCCTTGTAGTTATGTGGTGCTTCTGTTTTCTCTGTAGTTATGTGGTACTTCTGTTTCCCTGTAGTTATGTGGTACTTCTGTTGGTACTTCTGTTTTCTCTGTAGTTATATTGTACAGATTTTGTGGTAATTTTCAGCTTCCCTGTAGTCGTGTGGTACAGTTTTTGTGTTAAAATTTCTGTCTCCCTGTATTTATGTGCTAAACCTTTTTAATGGCAACTTCCTGTTTTCATTTGTAGGTATATGATGCAGATTTTGTGGTAACTTTCCTTTTACCCTGTAGTTATGCGCTACAGATTTTGTGGTAACTTTCCTTTTACCCTGTAGTTATGCGCTACAGATTTTGTATACCTTAATTACTCTTAAGACATATGAAATATGTTCTGTGATATTTCTTTACTTCTCTTTAGACATGTGGTACATGTTCTGTGGTACAAGTTCTGTGGTATTTCTTTGCTTCTCTTTAGACATGTGGTACATCTTTGGTGACTGGTGATACAGAAAATCAACCTGGTGGCGGAGACAGTATTCCTGCCAAGAAACAATCCTCTGCTGGAGGAGGGCGGTAAGTCCTGTTTACAAGATTACACCACTTATTGGCAGAAGTAAGACAGAAATTATCTAGTGTAATCCTTTTATCTATCACTTTAATATTGCTATGGGGGTTTTTCTTGTCTAAACCATACTTTAAAATACTGAATAATGTGATAGTTATAAAACGGATAAGATGGAATAGATCGAAATCAAAATAAGCACCTTTCTATTTTATCTTGAAGCAAGATATTTCAGTTGAGTATATATGCAGTTAAAGGATAGACTTCAGTGATATGGTAAGTTTCTGATATCTCGAGACCGGGTCTGTTCCATGAGGTGAACATTGTAGGTGTGATTTAGTAACAAACTCCACACACCAATAAACTGATTGAATCCTCTCTTTATATAAATTATTACCTTGTTCTATATATAGAATATGTCCTTGATCTGTATATAGAATATGTCCTTGATCTATATATATCATTACCTTGTCCTATATATAGAATATGTCCTTGATCTATATTTAGAATATGTCCTTGGTCTATATAAATTATTACCTTGTTCTATATATAGAATATGTCCTTGGTCTATATTTAGAATATGTCCTTGATCTATATAAATCATTACCTTGTTCTATGTATAGAATATGTCCTTGATCTATATTTAGAATATGTCCTTGATCTATATAAATCATTACCTTGATCTATATATAGAATATGTCCTTGATCTATATATAGAATATGTCCTTGATCTATATAAATCATTACCTTGATCTATATATAGAATATGTCCTTGATCTATATATAGAATATGTCCTTGATCTTACTTCACTACCTGTTTTATATAATTGTGTGAAACACATTTTTAAAAAAGTGTTTATTTTGATCAGCCTTTTGTGACATGAATTGAAAGACAATTGTAATGAGTTTCATCAATGTCATACAAAAATTCATAGAATGACATAAACTTTTAATGGATGTGGGTAATTTATTGTGCACAATGATATCAGATTACATTATGTTACACAAGTTCCCAATACAAGGACACTGACAAGGATGTATTCCCTAGACAGCACTCAATCAACTAATAGATACATTTAGCATTGCCAGAGCTCTTACAGGAAATTTAGAGAGAGGTGAAAATTTACAGTGTTTAATGTCTCAGACAAGCTTAACACAACTGAAAGACTATCATAAGTGATTCCAACTTGTAGAGTAGATCTGGCATCACTCTCTCAATGTTCTGACAAGCTAATGGCTGCCTGTAAAGCAATGTAGGAAAAGTCTTAGAGCTTACATTGTATTCAGTATCATAACAGTTATTAAAATGTAATATCGGGACATGGTGTATATATGGTAGTTGACTTATGTTGATCATGACTGAATGATGAGCCTTTTTATAATACTAGTATTGGTATAAATGACACATATCATGCCCAACAGTGTGTCACTTGACACAGACAACATCTAATAAATATTCACTGTTATTCTTGTTGTCCAGTATGGCATAAGATTTGATAATTGTTGTATGTATTTCTACAAAAAACACATTAAGTTATTTGACAATGTTTTTTGGACCTTGTCAGAGATAGATGTTCCATCAAACAATTTCTGACATTTTCAGACAGATTCAACAGGCTCAGGAGTTGTCAGAGACAGATGTTCTACCTAAAAGGATCAGGAGTTGTCAGAGATAGATTTTCTAGCTAACAAGTTCAGGATTTGTCAGAAACAGATTTTCTAGCTAACAGGTTCTGAGGTTGTCAGAGACAAATTTTCTACTTAAAAAGTTCAGGAGCTGTCAGAAACAGATTTTCTAGCTAACAGGTTCAGGAGTTGTCAGAAACAGATTTTCTAGCTAAAAGGTTCAGGAGTTGTCAGAGACAGATTTTCTACCTAAAAGGATCAGGAGTTGTCAGAGACAGATTTTCTAGCTAAAAGGATCAGGAGTTGTCAGAGATAGATTTTCTAGCTAACAGGTTCAGGATTCGTCAGAGACAAATTTTCTAGCTTAAGGGTTCTGAAATAGTAGGAAGTAAGAGGGAAAATGAAGGGAAAAGATCAAACTAACTGGTAGCCAATAAAATTCACGTTGGTGAGTGTTACAATCCCAATGTGTTGTTTCAGCTAACAGGTCCAGGAGTTGTAAAAGATTTATTTTGAAACTGATCAGTTTATGCCTGAGCTGTGAGAGATCAATTTCTTTTTATCTAATATATTATGTAGTTGTCAAGGATTTTCTAGAGTAGTATTTGAGTCGGTTTTCATATGCATTTTTTAAGGTATATGTTGCACTGTTGACAAGTTTTTAATCTGAAGAAATTAACTCATACTTATACATAATCACAAGACATGTTTACTTAATGTTGCCAATTTTATGAAGTTATTGATTTTCTTTCTGGACAGAAAATCATTGATTTTCAGACTTCAGACTTCTATATGGTTAAATATGTTGGCTTCAGACAGTATGGTGTACTTTAATAGCTCAGCAAATAATATAAAATATGTATTCCTTATTTCGCTTAAAGTGCAAATTTAAATGTAGTCTAACACAGATTGTTTCTAAAAAAGTCTCCTCTGTCTGTGTGAAGGATTTCATTGGCTGTATAACGGTTTTCATATTGTCAGTATAACGGTTTCCATATTGTCAGTATAACGGTTTCCATATTGTATAATGGTTACCAATGTCTGTATAAAGGCTTATATTGTCAGTATAAAGGTTTCAATCAATTGTCTGTATGTAGGTGAACATTGTCAGTATAAAGGTTTCTGTTGACAGTATAACTGCTTCCATTGTCTGTATAAAGGTTTCAATCAATTGTCTGTATAAAGGTTTCAATCAATTGTCTGTATAAAGGTTTCAATCAATTGTCTATATAAATGTTTCAATCAATTGTCTGTGTGTAGGTGAACATTGTCAGTATAAAGGTGAATATTGTCAGTTTAAAAGGCAGCAATCTCAAGGATGGTGAAGATGGTTGGCCTTTGATAATTTTGTAAGTCTTTCCGTCCTTCTCTCTGTCTGCAAATCAACTAGAACTTGTCTTGATAAACTATAAAATTACCTACAAGTGTTGGATGGCAATTTCATGCGTATTGATGGTATGCACACTTTAATTCTCATTTACTGTGAGGGGCCCGGAGTAGTAAAGGGGCGTGTCACAGTTATGCAGGAATTGTCACAGCTGTTTTTGTTGGTAGGAAACTCACTCAGGACAACTTTGTGCGTCTTAATATGAAAGTGAAGACCTACAAACGTAAGGGAGGGAAGGGAATGACCGGACCACAGCACAAACGCTTTATGTGGAAACAAAAGATGGCTGCTCGCAGTGCCAGTAGGGGAGACAACTGCTTCAAGTGTGGACAGCCTGGTCACTGGGCAAGCAAATGTCCTGGTAAGTTTGAAATCTATTAAAGCCAAAAATGTAATTTATGTCAAGAAATTTTGGTGAAAATTTCAGGAAAATCGTGAACTGGTAAAGGCATCATTTGATAGCCAAAAGGTTATTATTTCAATGTTTTATTGTAATAAGGTGGTTCCTCAAAGTCTGGTAAGATGGAGGGAGGCGATCGACATGAGGAACCAATTAATGAAGAAGACTTCCCAAGTCTGCATGAGGCAGCCATGATGGCGAAGGGAATCAAGAGATCAGAGGACAAAACAGGGAAGAAAATGATGACACAACATGATAAGAAAGGTAAGTCAGGATAGAATAAATTCTGGTGTCATATGATAGAGAGGGTAGGTTGATATAGAATAAATTCTGGAGTCATATGATAGAGAGGGTAGGTCAAGATAGAATAAATTCTGGAGTCATATGATAGAGAGGGTAGGTCAAGATAGAATAAATTCTGGAGTCATATGATAGAGAGGGTAGGTCAAGATAGAATAAATTCTGGTGTCATATGATAGAGAGGGTAGGTCAAGATAGAATAAATTCTGGTGTCAGATGATAGAGAGGGTAGGTCAAGATAGAATAAATTCTGGAGTCAGATGATAGAGAGGGTAGGTCAAGATAGAATAAATTCTGGAGTCAGATGATAGAGAGGGTAGGTCAGGATAGAATAAATTCTGGAGTCAGATGATGGGTAGGTTAAGATAGAATAAATTCTGGAGTCATATGATAGAGAGGGTAGGTCAAGATAGAATAAATTCTGGAGTCATATGATAGAGAGGGTAGGTCAGGATAGAATAAATTCTGGAGTCAGATGATGGGTAGGTTAAGATAGAATAAATTCTGGAGTCATATGATAGAGAGGGTAGGTCAAGATAGAATAAATTCTGGAGTCAGATGATAGAGAGGGTAGGTCAGGATAGAATATATTCAGGTGTCAGATAATAGAGAGGGTAGGTTGATATAGAATAAAATCTGGTGTCAGATGATAGAGAGGGTAGGTTGATATAGAATAAATTCTAGTGTCAGATGATAGAGAGGGTCGGTCAATATAGAATATATTCAGGTGTCAGATGATAGAGAGGTTAGATCAAGATTCAAGTCTAATGTCTGGTAGAAGTATTGCTTTTTAACATTTCTTGGATTGTTAACTCTTTTTTTATTTAATCTCTGCAGGGGTGTTTAGTTCTACTGGGGTGTTTAGTTCCACTTGGGTGTTTAGTTCTACTGGGTATTAAGTTCTACTGGGTATTAAGTTCTACTGGGGTGTTAAGTTCTACTGGGGTGTTAAGTTCTACTGGGGTGTTTAGTTCTACTGGGTATTAAGTTCTACTGGGGTGTTTAGTTCCACTTGGGTGTTAAGTTCTACTGGGGTGTTAAGTTCTACTGGGTGTTAAGTTCTACTGGGGTGTTTAGTTCCACTTGGGTGTTAAGTTCTACTGGGGTGTTTAGTTCCACTTGAGTGTTAAGTTCTACTGGGGTGTTAAGTTCCACTTGGGTGTTAAGTTCTACTGGGGTGTTAAGTTCCACTGGGGTGTTTAGTTCCACTTGGGTGTTAAGTTCTACTGGGGTGTTTAGTTCTACTGGGGTGTTAAGTTCTACTGGGGTGTTAAGTTCTACTGGGGTGTTTAGTTCTACTGGGTATTAAGTTCTACTGGGGTGTTAAGTTCCACTTGGGTGTTAAGTTCTATTGGGTATTAAGTTCTACTGGGGTGTTTAGTTCTACTGGGGTGTTAAGTTCTACTGGGGTGTTTAATTCCACCTGGGTGTTAAGTTCTACTGGGGTGTTAAGTTCTACTGGGTATTAAGTTCTACTGGGGTGTTTAGTTCCACTTGGGTGTTAAGTTCTACTGGGGTGTTAAGTTCCACTTGGGTGTTAAGTTCTACTGGGTATTAAGTTCTACTGGGGTGTTAAGTTCTACTGGGGTGTTAAGTTCTGCTGGGGTGTTAAGTTCTACTGGGATGTTTAGTTCTACTGGGTGTTAAGTTCTACTGGGGTGTTAAGTTCTAATGGGGTGTTAAGTTCTACTGGGGTGTTAAGTTCTACTGGGTGTTAAGTTCTACTGGGGTGTTAAGTTCTACTGGGGTGTTTAGTTCCACTTGGGTGTTTAGTTCTACTGGGTATTAAGTTCTACTGGGTATTAAGTTCTACTGGGGTGTTTAGTTCTACTGGGTATTAAGTTCTACTGGGGTGTTTAGTTCCACTTGGGTGTTAAGTTCTACTGGGGTGTTAAGTTCTACTGGGGTGTTTAGTTCCACTTGGGTGTTAAGTTCTACTGGGGTGTTTAGTTCCACTTGGGTGTTAAGTTCTACTGGGGTGTTAAGTTCCACTTGGGTGTTAAGTTCTACTGGGGTGTTTAGTTCCACTTGGGTGTTAAGTTCTACTGGGGTGTTTAGTTCCACTTGGGTGTTAAGTTCTACTGGGGTGTTTAGTTCCACTTGAGTGTTAAGTTCTACTGGGGTGTTAAGTTCCACTTGGGTGTTAAGTTCCACTTGGGTGTTAAGTTCTACTGGGGTGTTTAGTTCTACTGGGGTGTTAAGTTCTACTGGGGTGTTAAGTTCTACTGGGGTGTTTAGTTCTACTGGGAATTAAGTTCTACTGGGGTGTTTAATTCCACTTGGGTGTTAAGTTCTACTGGGGTGTTAAGTTCTACTGGGTATTAAGTTCTACTGGGGTGTTTAGTTCCACTTGGGTGTTAAGTTCCACTTGGGTGTTAAGTTCTACTGGGTATTAAGTTCTACTGGGGTGTTAAGTTCTAATGGGGTGTTAAGTTCTACTGGGGTGTTAAGTTCTACTGGGATGTTTAGTTCTACTGGGTGTTAAGTTCTACTGGGGTGTTAAGTTCCACTGGGGTGTTTAGTTCCACTTGGGTGTTAAGTTCTACTGGGGTGTTTAGTTCTACTGGGGTGTTAAGTTCTACTGGGGTGTTAAGTTCTACTGGGGTGTTTAGTTCTACTGGGTATTAAGTTCTACTGGGGTGTTAAGTTCCACTTGGGTGTTAAGTTCTATTGGGTATTAAGTTCTACTGGGGTGTTTAGTTCTACTGGGGTGTTAAGTTCTACTGGGGTGTTTAATTCCACCTGGGTGTTAAGTTCTACTGGGGTGTTAAGTTCTACTGGGTATTAAGTTCTACTGGGGTGTTTAGTTCCACTTGGGTGTTAAGTTCTACTGGGGTGTTTAGTTCCACTTGGGTGTTAAGTTCTACTGGGGTGTTTAGTTCCACTTGGGTGTTAAGTTCTACTGGGGTGTTTAGTTCCACTTGAGTGTTAAGTTCTACTGGGGTGTTAAGTTCCACTTGGGTGTTAAGTTCCACTTGGGTGTTAAGTTCTACTGGGGTGTTTAGTTCTACTGGGGTGTTAAGTTCTACTGGGGTGTTAAGTTCTACTGGGGTGTTTAGTTCTACTGGGAATTAAGTTCTACTGGGGTGTTTAATTCCACTTGGGTGTTAAGTTCTACTGGGGTGTTAAGTTCTACTGGGGTGTTAAGTTCTGCTGGGGTGTTAAGTTCTACTGGGATGTTTAGTTCTACTGGGTGTTAAGTTCTACTGGGGTGTTAAGTTCTAATGGGGTGTTAAGTTCTACTGGGGTGTTAAGTTCTACTGGGTGTTAAGTTCTACTGGGGTGTTAAGTTCTACTGGGGTGTTTAGTTCCACTTGGGTGTTTAGTTCTACTGGGTATTAAGTTCTACTGGGTATTAAGTTCTACTGGGGTGTTTAGTTCTACTGGGTATTAAGTTCTACTGGGGTGTTTAGTTCCACTTGGGTGTTAAGTTCTACTGGGGTGTTAAGTTCTACTGGGGTGTTTAGTTCCACTTGGGTGTGAAGTTCTACTGGGGTGTTTAGTTCCACTTGGGTGTTAAGTTCTACTGGGGTGTTAAGTTCCACTTGGGTGTTAAGTTCTACTGGGGTGTTTAGTTCCACTTGGGTGTTAAGTTCTACTGGGGTGTTTAGTTCCACTTGGGTGTTAAGTTCTACTGGGGTGTTTAGTTCCACTTGAGTGTTAAGTTCTACTGGGGTGTTAAGTTCCACTTGGGTGTTAAGTTCCACTTGGGTGTTAAGTTCTACTGGGGTGTTTAGTTCTACTGGGGTGTTAAGTTCTACTGGGGTGTTAAGTTCTACTGGGGTGTTTAGTTCTACTGGGGTGTTAAGTTCTACTGGGGTGTTAAGTTCTACTGGGGTGTTTAGTTCTACTGGGTGTTAAGTTCTACTGGGGTGTTTAGTTCCACTTGGGTGTTAAGTTCTACTGGGGTGTTTAGTTCCACTTGAGTGTTAAGTTCTACTGGGGTGTTAAGTTCCACTTGGGTGTTAAGTTCTACTGGGGTGTTAAGTTCTACTGGGGTGTTTAGTTCCACTTGGGTGTTAAGTTCTACTGGGGTGTTAAGTTCTACTGGGGTGTTAAGTTCTACTGGGGTGTTAAGTTCTACTGGGTATTAAGTTCTACTGGGGTGTTTAATTCCACTTGGGTGTTAAGTTCTACTGGGGTGTTAAGTTCTACTGGGTATTAAGTTCTACTGGGGTGTTTAGTTCCACTTGGGTGTTAAGTTCTACTGGGGTGTTAAGTTCCACTTGGGTGTTAAGTTCTACTGGGTATTAAGTTCTACTGGGGTGTTAAGTTCTACTGGGGTGTTAAGTTCTACTGGGTATTAAGTTCTACTGGGGTGTTTAGTTCCACTTGGATGTTAAGTTCTACTTGGGTGTTAAGTTCCACTTTGGTGTTAAGTTCTACTGGGGTGTTAAGTTCTAGTGGGGTATTAAGTTCTACTGGGGTGTTAAGTTCTACTGGGGTATTAAGTTCTACTGGGGTGTTAACTGGGGTGTTAAGTTCTACTTGGGTGTTAAGTTCTACTAGGATGTTAAGTTCTATTGGGGTATTAAATTCTACTGGGTATTAAGTTGTACTGGATATTAAGTTCTACTGGGGTGTTAAGTTATTCTGGGTATTAAGTTCTACTGGGGTGTTAAGTTATTCTGGGTATTAAGTTCTACTGGGGTGTTAAGTTCTACTGGGGTATTATGTTCTACTGGGGTATTAAGTTCTACTGGGGTATTACGTTCTACTGGGTATTAAGTTCTACTGGGGTATTAAGTTCTACTGGGGTATTAAGTTCTACTGGAGTATTATGTTCTACTGGGGTATTATGTTCTACTGGGGTATTAAGTTCTACTGGGGTATTAAATTCTACTGGGGTATTAAGTTCTCCTATGATGTTAAGCTCTATTGGGGTATTAAGTTCTACTGGGTATTAAGTTCTACTATGATGTTAAGCTCTATTGGGGTATTAAGTTCTACTGGGGTGTTAAGTTATTCTGGGGTATTAAGTTCTACTGGGGTATTAAATTCTTCTGGGTGTTAAGTTCTACTGGGGTATTAAGTTCTATTGGGGTATTAAGTTCTACTGGGGGTGTTAAGTTATTCTGGGTATTAAGTTCTACTGGGTATTAAGTTCTACTGGGGTGTTAAGTTCTAATGGGGTGTTAAGTTCTACTGGGGTGTTAAGTTCTACTGGGTGTTAAGTTCTACTGGGGTGTTAAGTTCTACTGGGGTGTTTAGTTCCACTTGGGTGTTTAGTTCTACTGGGTATTAAGTTCTACTGGGTATTAAGTTCTACTGGGGTGTTAAGTTCTACTGGGTGTTAAGTTCTACTGGGGTGTTAAGTTCTACTGGGGTGTTTAGTTCTACTGGGTGTTAAGTTCTACTGGGGTGTTTAGTTCCACTTGGGTGTTAAGTTCTACTGGGGTGTTTAGTTCCACTTGAGTGTTAAGTTCTACTGGGGTGTTAAGTTCCACTTGGGTGTTAAGTTCTACTGGGGTGTTAAGTTCTACTGGGGTGTTAAGTTCTACTGGGTATTAAGTTCTACTGGGGTGTTTAGTTCCACTTGGATGTTAAGTTCTACTGGGGTGTTAAGTTCCACTTTGGTGTTAAGTTCTACTGGGGTGTTAAGTTCTAGTGGGGTATTAAGTTCTACTGGGGTGTTAAGTTCTAGTGGGGTATTAAGTTCTACTGGGGTGTTAACTGGGGTGTTAAGTTCTGCTTGGGTGTTAAGTTCTACTAGGATGTTAAGTTCTATTGGGGTATTAAATTCTACTGGGGTATTAAGTTTTACTGGGGTATTAAGGTCTACTGGATATTAAGTTCTACTGGGGTGTTAAGTTATTCTGGGTATTAAGTTCTACTGGGGTGTTAAGTTATTCTGGGTATTAAGTTCTACTGGGGTGTTAAGTTCTACTGGGGTATTATGTTCTACTGGGGTATTAAGTTCTACTGGGGTATTACGTTCTACTGGGTATTAAGTTCTACTGGGGTATTAAGTTCTACTGGGGTATTAAGTTCTACTGGAGTATTATGTTCTACTGGGGTATTATGTTCTACTGGGGTATTAAGTTCTACTGGGGTATTAAATTCTACTGGGGTATTAAGTTCTCCTATGATGTTAAGCTCTATTGGGGTATTAAGTTCTACTGGGGTATTAAGTTCTACTATGATGTTAAGCTCTATTGGGGTATTAAGTTCTACTGGGGTGTTAAGTTATTCTGGGGTATTAAGTTCTACTGGGGTGTTAAGTTATTCTGGGGTATTAAGTTCTACTGGGGTATTAAATTCTTCTGGGTGTTAAGTTCAACTGGGGTATTAAGTTCTACTGGGTATTAAGTTCTACTGGATATTAAGTTCTACTGGGGTGTTAAGTTATTCTGGGTATTAAGTTCTACTGGGGTGTTTAGTTCTACTGGGTATTAAGTTCTACTGGGTATTAAGTTCTACTGGGGTGTTAAGTTCTACTGGGGTGTTTAGTACCACTTGGGTGTTAAGTTCTACTAGGATGTTAAGTTCTCCTGGGGTGTTAAGTTCTCCTTGGGTGTTAAGTTCTACTTGGGTGTTTAGTTCCACTTTGGTGTTAAGTTCTACTGGGGTGTTAAGTTCTAGTGGGGTATTAAGTTCTACTGGGGTGTTAAGTTCTAGTGGGGCATTAAGTTCTACTAGGATGTTAAGTTGTACTGGGGTATTAAGTTTTACTGGGGTATTAAGTTCTACTGGGATGTTAAGCTCTATTGGGGTATTAAGTTCTACTGGATATTAAGTTCTACTGGGGTGTTAAGTTCTACTGGGGTATTATGTTCTACTTGGGTATTAAGTTCTACTGGGGTATTACGTTCTACTGGGTATTAAGTTCTACTGGGGTATTAAGTTCTACTGGGGTATTATGTTCTACTGGGGTATTAAGTTCTTCTGGGGTATTATGTTCTACTGGGGCATTAAGTTCTACTAGGATGTTAAGTTCTACTTGGGTGTTAAGTTCTACTAGGATGTTAAGTTCTATTGGGGTATTAAATTCTACTGGGTATTAAGTTCTACTGGGGTGTTAACTTCTATTGGGGTATAAAGTTCTACTGGGTATTAAGTTCTACTAGGATGTTAAGTTCTATTGGGGTATTAAATTCTACTGGGTATTAAGTTCTACTGGGGTGTTAAGTTCTATTGGGGTATTAAATTCTACTGGGGTATTAAGTTCTCCTATGATGTTAAGCTCTATTGGGGTATTAAGTTCTACTGGGTATTACGTTCTACTGGGGTATTAAGTTCTACTGGGGTATTAAGTTCTACTGTGGTATTAAGTTCTACTGGGGTATTAAGTTCTTTTGGGGTATTAAGTTCTACTGGGGTGTTAAGTTATTCTGGGTATTAAGTTCTACTGGGGTGTTAAGTTCTATTTGGGTATTAAGTTCTACTAGGGTATTAAGTTCTATTTGGGTGTTAAGTTCTACTGGGTATTAAGTTCTACTGGGGTATTAAGTTCTGATGGGGTGTTTAGTTATGATGGGATGTTTAATTCTGATGGGGTGTTTAGGTCTGGTAGTGTTTAGTTATGATAGTGTGTATAGTTATGATTAGGTGTTAAGTTCTGATGTGGTGTTTAGTTATGATGGAGTGTTTAGTTATGATAGTGTGTTTAGTTGTGATGGGGTGTTTAATTCTGATGGGGTGTTTAGGTCTGGTAGTGTTTAGTTATGATAGGGTATTTTAGTTTAGCTGAGGTTTTTCAATTATAACGATGTGTTTAGGTGTTTCTCTGTGTACTGCTGAAGATGACAATGAAGATATCCAAATTGAGGCTGGAATTACAAGGTCAGCCCCCGAGGATATTGGAGCTCCACCACCGTTTTCACCGTTGATAAAATCATCCACCCAAGGTAAGGATTGATGGTTTCTGGTTAGTGTCTGTCAACTTTTTAAGCTATTTAACCTGAAGGATCAGCATGGACTATAGCCATTATGTTTCATTTGTTGTCTTGTGTAGTATGTAAAAACTCTTTCTATTTTAAGCTTCTTCTCAAGTTCTCCGTGTGAATACAATCTCGAAAACACTTTTTTTAATTTCTCAAACTCGACTGGTGTCATTGAAAATTGCTGGAAACCAATAAGATTGTTAAGGAAAGGAAGCGACAGAGTGTTGCTATTCTTTTGGCCTCATCAAAGTCCTCGGAGAACAGGTGATCTGAATCAGATTATACCTGAGCTGTCTGTCTAAGGTACACCTGTCCCATGTGACATCTTTTTCAACATACTTCACAATTTGATGCCATGGTGGCTTGGAATGGGATAACTCTATCTTCCACTGATAGGGAAGGGAGACTGGCATGCGCAATGATGCAATACGCTTCGTTGCTTTATGTAGCACAATAATGTTGCAAGTCGATAACATCATCAATTTCAATTCAAATATCATAAGACATTTATAATAATACAATGAATATAATTCACAACAACTAACAATTACTGGTTTTATGTGAAGACCTAAGGCCTTTTGCAAATTACTGCCATCCTGCTGTTTCATTCTCTTTTCTTATTGGTTAAAAATTGGTATGTTTACTCATACTCCATCTCTTGGCACTAAACGGAACTAATATCAATAAATTACTGCCACTTTTCAATCTAGTATTTGATTTAAATGTAAATTAAATTGCATATAAATGATGAATGCATTGTGAAAACACTGTTACGATCAGCATACTGTTTAGTTGTGTCACAAAGTGAATGAAATCTGCGTCAAAAAACATGAAAGATAACCGATGACTTCATTCTCTGAAATAAAATGAAAATGAATATGGCAGACATTGAAAATAGTTGAAGAACAAGGATTTAGTTTTGTACTTTCAAGGAGATGAGTCGCTGCCGTAGTTTGTACATTTGATATTGTACACCAAATCACCACATACAACGATAAATGACAAAATGGGCTATGGAACCAAAACGGCTGAATTTCATTTCCTTTTGTTTTTGTCTTTTAAGGAACAAAATAATCTGTCCTTAGTTTTAGAGAAATATGTAATAAATATATCTGTTCCAAAAGGTAGGAAAAAAACTGATTTCGTTGCTATGTTGTGAACAGGTACTGATTCAATAGTCCCTGACTGGGTAAAAAAGTTATACCACATTCATAATGGCAACATGTTTATCATTGCATCCATAATTCCAAGAATTCAGGCAAGAGAAATACTTGTCTATATCTTGGAAAAATAGCACTGATTGAGAAATACTTGTCAATTTCATGGAAAAATAGCACTGACTGAGAAATACTAGTCGATATCATGGAAATATGATTTGCATCATTAAACATTTGGTAAAAGAACAGAAAATGACAGCCTCAAGGTATTAGGGGTGTAATTAATAACTGGTGGTCAGAATCCTGATGTTTAACCAATATTTTCAACCGTTGCCTGTTACTGTAGCACAAGAAGAACATACAAATATGTATGGACACTTTGCATCAAACACTGTCACTAGTCAGAAATTAGAAAGTACAATTTGTCATTTCAAACCAGTATACCTACTGCTAACAATTGTTGTTGGGAAATCAGCAAAGGTAGGTGACATTTCTTCAGTTTTCACCACGCCATGAAGTCTAACACCATACATCACTATGATAGAACTTGCTCATTTCTTTATACAATGTTTTCAAATTAAGTCAGAGAAAGTGTTTACATCATTCAGTTTGAGGTATGGAACCATTTTTTCTGAATTTGTTATTCCCAGTCATGTACAGGACTTCCCTGGACTGTTGCCAAGACTACAACCATCACAATTTAAAGGGGTGTCCTTGGCCAAGTTTGAGCAAATGTGATTAATCGTATCTAAATTTCAATTCACATGTTTGGAATGAATTACTTTGATGAATCTATGCACAAAGATATGGTAATTTTTTCCCTCCATTTTTAGAAAGTTCGATATAACCCTGCAAATTGGAAAATAACATTCTTTATTGTCACAGTAAAATCAGTTAAGTACTGTGTACCCCCTCGATCCACTGCGTCATAATTGGTGAACAGTATGACATGAACTAAACATGTCAATTAAAATAAAAAATTTGGATGAAATAAACTAATTTACAAAGTCTGGAAAATAATACATTCATCAAGTTCAATTTGCATTCAGGAAAATGTCACTCTAAATAGTTTAACCTCTCAGATTTTGGAGTAAAATCAAGGGTATGAAGGTTGTGTAGGTTTATTTAATTTTTAAATGTTTTAGTAATGTTTAAAGTATTTCAATTAACACTCTTAATACCTCAAAAGTAGGTGACAGTCACAGTAAATGTAAGTATGATAAATGACAGCCTTTACAGTAGGTGACAGTCACAGTAAATGTAAGTATGATAAATGACAGCCTTTACAGTAGGTGACAGTCACAGTAAATGTAAGTATGATAAATGACAGCCTTTACAGTAGGTGACAGTCACAGTAAATGTATGATAAATGACAACCTTTACAGTAGGTGACAGTCACAGTAAATGTAAGTATGATAAATGACAGCCTTTACAGTAGGTGACAGTCACAGTAAATGTATGATAAATGACAGCCTTTACAGTAGGTGACAGTCACAGTAAATGTAAGTAAGATAAATGACAGCCTTTACAGTAGGTGACAGTCACAGTAAATAAAAGTATGATAAATAACAGCCTTTACAGTAGGTGACAGTCACAGTAAATGTATGATAAATGACAGCCTTTACAGTAGGTGACAGTCACAGTAAATGTATGATAAATGACAGCCTTTACAGTAGGTGACAGTCAGAGTAAATGTAAGTAAGATAAATGACAGCCTTTACAGTAGGTGACAGTCACAGTAAATAAAAGTATGATAAATAACAGCCTTTACAGTAGGTGACAGTCACAGTAAATGTATGATAAATGACAGCCTTTACAGTAGGTGACAGTCACAGTAAATGTATGATAAATGACAACCTTTACAGTAGGTGACAGTCACAGTAAATGTATGATAAATGACAGCCTTTACAGTAGGTGACAGTCACAGTAAATATAAGTATGATAAATGACAACCTTTACAGTAGGTGACAGTCACAGTAAATGTAAGTATGATAAATGACAACCTTTACAGTAGGTGACAGTCACAGTAAATGTATGATAAATGACAACCTTTACAGTAGGTGACAGTCAGAGTAAATATAAGTATGATAAATGACAGCCTTTACAGTAGGTGACAGTCACAGTAAATGTATGATAAATGACAGCCTTTACAGTAGGTGACAGTCAGAGTAAATGTAAGTAAGATAAATGACAGCCTTTACAGTAGGTGATAGTCACAGTAAATAAAAGTATGATAAATAACAGCCTTTACAGTAGGTGACAGTCACAGTAAATGTATGATAAATGACAGCCTTTACAGTAGGTGACAGTCACAGTAAATAAAAGTATGATAAATAACTGCCTTTACAGTAGGTGACAGTCACAGTAAATGTGAGTATGATAAATGACAACCTTTACAGTAGGTGACAGTCAGAGTAAATGTAAGTATGATAAATGACAGCCTTTACAGTAGGTGACAGTCACAGTAAATGTAAGTATGATAAATGACAGCCTTTACAGTAGGTGACAGTCACAGTAAATGTAAGTATGATAAATGACAACCTTTACAGTAGGTGACAGTCACAGTAAATGTGAGTATGATAAATGACAGCCTTTACAGTAGGTGACAGTCACAGTTAATAAAAGTATGATAAATAACAGCCTTTACAGTAGGTGACAGTCACAGTAAATGTATGATAAATGACAGCCTTTACAGTAGGTGACAGTCACAGTAAATAAAAGTATGATAAATAACAGCCTTTACAGTAGGTGACAGTCACAGTAAATGTGAGTATGATAAATGACAACCTTTACAGTAGGTGACAGTCAGAGTAAATGTAAGTATGATAAATGACAGCCTTTACATTAGGTGACAGTCAGAGTAAATGTAAGTATGATAAATGACAGCCTTTACAGTAGGTGACAGTCACAGTAAATGTAAGTATGATAAATGACAGCCATTACAGTAGGTGACAGTCAGAGTAAATGTAAGTAAGATAAATGACAGCCTTTACAGTAGGTGACAGTCACAGTAAATGTGAGTATGATAAATGACAGCCTTTACAGTAGGTGACAGTCACAGTAAATGTAAGTATGATAAATGACAACCTTTACAGTAGGTGACAGTCACAGTAAATGTAAGTATGATAAATGACAGCCTTTACAGTAGGTGACAGTCACAGTAAATGTAAGTATGATAAATGACAGCCTTTACAGTAGGTGACAGTCACAGTAAATGTAAGTATGATAAATGACAACCTTTACAGAAGGTGATAGTCACTGTAAATGGCAGCTGGATTAAATTTTCAGAAACCCCAGAAGATGTTTGGAAAGGTCTGAAGATGTTTGGCTTTGATGGGTTCAGAAGAGGACAAGAAAAGGCTGTCATGAGGATTCTGTCTGGTATGTGCTTTGCAGCTATATCAAACATTATATTGTAATTATATTTCAGACATTGAAAGTAATGAACTTTATATTACATGTCCTACTTTTGCCTGTAGGGTTCCAGACAGACATTTCTGTCAGAATAGGACACTGTTTCCTCTGTAGAATGTTGGCATCAGTTTAAAACAATGACACTAGAAATGTCGGTTAAAGAAAACATGATAATGTCATTTCATTTGACAGGTCAGTCGACACTGGTTGTCCTGTCAACAGGGGGAGGTAAATCTCTCTGTTACCAGTTACCAGCCTATCTTTATGCCCAGAAGTCAAAGAGCATCACGCTGGTGATATCACCTTTAGTGTCACTGATGGAGGATCAGGTAAGGGAATGTGGATATGATCAGTAAATACAATGACTCCATTAATGTACAATAAGTGGATCAAACCCCCAGTCCAGGTGATATCACCTTTAGTGTCACTGAGCTTGAGATATCTACGTGTATTTCTATCTAGGGTAAGCACTAATACAAAACTATTCTACACATTAACTTTCAGTACCTGTGGCACTACATGGGTCTGACTTAACATTAATCGTTGACCTTGACATCCAGAATAGCTGGTTTCTTGGGCTTTAGAGGTCTGATCTGACACTAATGGTTGACTTTGACCTTCAGATAACTGGTCTGCCTGCTGGACTACATGGGGCGTGCCTTCACACCAATATGACTCCTGCCAAGAGGGAAGGAGTACTTGCTTCGGTCAAGGACGGTCATGTTCACTTCCTGTTAGTGTCTCCTGAGGCTGTTGCTGGTGGCAATATGTCTTTGTTGAACTCCCGTGCCAACCTTCCACCAATCTCTTTTGTTTGTATAGATGAGGCTCATTGTCTATCAGAATGGTCACACAACTTTCGGCCGGCTTATCTTCGCCTCTGCAAGGTAAGCCTCTAGCCACATCTGAAGGGTTAGTCTGCCTCCACCTCTGTAAGGTAAGCCTATCTCTGTCTCTGTGAGGTAAGCCTATCTCTGTCTCTGTGAGGTAAGCCTATCTCTGTCTCTGTGAGGTAAGCCTATCTCTGCCTCTGTGAGGTAAGCCTATCTCTACCTCTGTGAGGTAAGCCTATCTCTGTCTCTGTAAGGTAAGCCTATCTCTACCTCTGTAAGGTAAGCCTATCTCTGCCTCTGTGAGGTAAGCCTATCTCTGTCTCTGTAAGGTAAGCCTATCTCTGTCTCTGTAAGGTAAGCCTATCTCTGTCTCTGTGAGGTAAGCCTATCTCTGTCTCTGTAAGGTAAGCCTATCTCTGCCTCTGTGAGGTAAGCCTATCTCTGTCTCTGTAAGGTAAGCCTATCTCTGCCTCTGTGAGGTAAGCCTATCTCTGTCTCTGTAAGGTAAGCCTATCTCTGCCTCTGTGAGGTAAGCCTATCTCTGTCTCTGTGAGGTAAGCCTATATCGGTCTCTGTAAGGTAAGCCTATCTCTGCCTCTGTGAGGTAAGCCTATCTCTGTCTCTGTAAGGTAAGCCTATCTCTGCCTCTGTGAGGTAAGCCTATCTCTGTCTCTGTGAGGTAAGCCTATCTCTACCTCTGTGAGGTAAGCCTATCTCTGTCTCTGTGAGGTAAGCCTATCTCTGTCTCTGTGAGGTAAGCCTATCTCTGCCTCTGTGAGGTAAGCCTATCTCTGCCTCTGTGAGGTAAGCCTATCTCTACCTCTGTAACGTAAACAAAGCTTTCTCCACTTCAGTAAGGTGAACATTTTTCCACTTCTGTTAGGTAAGCTTATCACCACTTCTGGAGGGTTAATAGAATCTTTCACGCCCATGAAGGTAATTAAGGTAGCAAACATGAGGCTTGCAGAGTGATTGCAACTTAAACAACTTTTCCCGCAGATTGAGATTACCGTATCTTACCAACAATAAGGTGAATAATTACTTTTCTCTGACGCTCCAGGCTGTATAAGGTACTTATATATAATTTTGTTGCCCTAATGGTTCACATCATTTATGTTATTTGATTGCTTGTGTGACCTCTGTGAATTGTTACTGTCATATCATTGTCTTGACGGGGGAATCCCCTTGTCTGAACCTTAGGGTGAGACAAAGAAATCCCAAACATGAGAAAAGCATGGATTTCCCTATCAAGGGTAAAAGAATAGTCAGTTTCCACTTCTGTAAGGTTAGTCTATCTCCATCTGTGTAAAATAAGCACACCTCCACATCTCTAAGGTAAGGCGTCTGTAGAGTTGATCTTTCCATTCAGTAATTGTAGAATTTTTCCTATTTTATTTACACAAATATATGTAATATTTTAATAGTAAAATTATTATATTTATTTCATACTCCATGTCAATTCCAAACAATTTGATTACAGTGTTTCTCGATAGGTCTGTTTCTCAGTTAGAGCCTCAAGAGATACGTAAAGTTTGACCTGAGAAACCACATGACATTTCCATAATAGATGTAATGTTACTTTTTCCTTGCCACAGAAAGCAATATTGGTATAAAATATTTTATAAAATAGTTTGAAATGAAAATTCTGAAGCTTTAGGTCCTTTTCTATTTTTCGGCTTAAATAAAATTTCAACAGGAATCAACAGGACTTTTATTCAATATTTTTGTAACTGATTTCAACATATATTAGTAAAAATTGTTTTAACTATTTCATGTTTCTTCAAATACTGAATAAATTTACATTATTTTGCTTCGATTGTATCATTTCCTTGGAATATTCTGTATTTTCCAGGTAATAAGCCATACCAGTATATAAGCTGCAGAGCTGATTTTTGTCCTTTTTTTTCTCACGATTTGATCCACATAAAAGCTGCACTCTTTCTTGTAACCATTATGTTACAGAAATCATCTTAACATTTTTAAAACCGAGTTGAAATAGTTTGGATCATCTGTTAAAATAAAGGAAGTGAGGTCATTTGTAACTTGGTTGATCAATTATTCTGAATTTTTGATAATGTAGATTTGGGGATTTACCTGTATTGCTGAACTTAACATTTCAAAACATAGGGTGAAGATAGATTAGAGACTGAATGGGTTGCCTTGTCTAACTCCCTGGTATATCTTAAAAAAATCAGAGCATCGTCAATTATGTAAAACACAACATAAATTATCATTGTAGAAAGTTTTCATTCATGCAAAAAAAAAGGCCAAAACCATGTAAATACATTAAGTAGTTAATTTATTAAAGGAATTTGATTTAGACATATTTAAATTGATGGTAAGTTTTGTATTCCTTTACCAAGTTAGCTTCTCTGAAGACTGATATTAATTAGGAAATTCTTCATTATCCAACAAAACCTGAACCCAACTGAAGCCATGGCAACCATAGAATACAAATACAATGGTTATGTTAAATACTTTACTGACGGTTCAAGAATTTTAACAATAGCTATAGTAAGTCTTCAGGTTTCTTGCCTGATGACAACATGAACAGATCAATTAGAATTTCAAGCAATTGTGTGTTTATTTCATTGAGTTTATAGCTTTAAGCTTCGCCTTAACATTGATCCATCAAATTAAACCAGACAGATGAGTCCTTCTCACAGAGTCTTTTTGCACTACAGACTATAGACACTGGAAATAGCTCAAGATCTTTCACTAGATATTGGATATGATGTTCCCTACTATGATTAGATGAACAGGGTATCACAAAACTTGGATATATTCCTGTCAGGCAACGTAAAATCTGACAAAGTGTTGAGGAAAGCATTGGATGATGATGTTTATAAAAATCATATCTTCACTGACAGGAAATGGGTTCAGACATTGGAGATGTGGGCTTATGCCTCAAGGCATTGTAAAGGGCACAGTAGGGCTCCTCTCAGGAAATCCAGACAATCTTTATAGGAGTTGAATAAAAAACTGTAATATAAATGTATATCGTGCAGCTTCATCACCAGATCAGGTGCACTCCTTAAAAGTGCTGATCTTTATGGAAGTATTATAATCCACAATTATAATTAGCAGTGTTGTGTGGGGACATTATATAGGTTGGATAGTATAGACTGTAACAGTGCAAGTATAAGAACTGTTTTGTGTGGTTTTGATTCTGTCCACTAAACACTCTTGTGACTACTCAATTATCATCATTATGATAAAGGAATGACAATCATTACATCAGAATAGATCTGACATCAAAATACACACAGTAGTATTCCTAACCTAACAGACGTTCCGGCAAGAATCAATTTAGGTGTAAGAATACTAATAAACACCACTCGTGTGAAAATGTAAACTTGCATCTCTGGCAGAGTTCAGGCGAGAGCATATGAGGACATGCTCATATACTTAATATTAATAGGAGATTAGGCTTACTTCAATAATACAGACTATACAAAATCATCATACATTAGAAATATCATTTCTCTTGTAGTATTATGTAGTGTAGTTTTAGCAAGTTGTCAGTGGTCAGATTTGAGTCAGAGGTCAAACTGTATTGTTAGGTCATAGGGACAAGGAAACAGATGTCTCCATCTTTATTCCATCTCCTGTCTTCCACTATCTACTTTCACTTTTTACATTGCTGCTTAACAATAATGTGTGGGTCTACTTATAGAAATGTGTAAGTTACTGTACAGCTGTGTGTGAGTCTACTAATAGAAATGTAGGTTACAGTACAGCGGTGTGTGAGTCTACTAATAGAAGTGTAGGTTACAGTACAGTGGTGTGTGGGTCTACTAATAGAAATGTAGGTTACAGTACAGCTGTGTGTGGGTCTACTAATAGAAATTTAGGTTACAGTACAGCTGTGTGTGAGTCTACTAATAGAAATGTAGGTTACAGTACAGCTGTGTGTGAGTCTACTAATAGAAATGTAGGTTACAGTACAGCGGTGTGTGGGTCTACTAATAGAAATGTAGGTTACAGTACAGCTGTGTGTGAGTCTACTAATAGAAATGTAGGTTACAGTACAGCTGTGTGTGGGTGAAATGTAGGTTACAGTACAGCGGTGTGTGGGTCTACTTATAGAAATGTAGGTTACAGTACAGCTGTGTGTGGGTCTACTAATAGAAATGTAGGTTACAGTACAGCTGTGTGTAAGTCTACTAATAGAAATGTAGGTTACAGTACAGCTGTGTGTGAGTCTACTAATAGAAATGTAGGTTACAGTACAGCTGTGTGTGGGTTTACTAATAGAAATGTAGGTTACAGTACAGCTGTGTGTGAGTCTACTAATAGAAATTTAGGTTACATTACATCAGTATAGAGGTCTAGTAAAGTATTGGTGGTAAGTTAAAAGTACAGAGTGGGAAGGTCTTTTAACAGAAGGTAAGTCAGTAAGTGACAGTGGAGGTCTAGTAAAGGAATAGTATTCTTATGTCTAATAAAGAAAAGGTGGTAAATTACAGTACAGAAGTGTGGGTTACAGTACAGAAGTGTGGGTTACAGTACAGAAGTGTGGGTTACAGTACAGATGTGTGGGTTACAGTGCAGAAGTATGGGTTAGTACAGGAGTGTGGGTTACAGTACAGAAGTATGGGTTACAGTACAGAAGTGTGGGTTACAGTACAGAAGTATGGGTTACAGTACAGAAGTGCGGGTTACAGTACAGAAGTGTGGATTACAGTACAGAAGTGTGGGTTACAATACAGAAGTGTGGGTTACAGTACAGAAGTGTGGGTTACAGTACAGAAGTGTGGATTACAGTACAGAAGTGTGGTTACAGTACAGAAGTGTGGGTTACAGTACAGAAGTGTGGATTACAGTACAGAAGTGTGGGTTACAGTACAGAAGTATGGGTTACAGTACAGAAGTGTGGGTTACAGTACAAAAGTGTGGGTTACAGTACAGAAGTGTGGGTTACAGTACAGAAGTGTGGATTACAGTACAGTAGTGTGGGTTACAGTACAGAAGTGTGGGTTACAGTACAGAAGTGTGGGTTACAGTACAGAAGTGTGGGTTACAGTACAGAAATGTGGGTTACAGTACAGTAG